GTCGTAAACAGTGGCGTTCGTGCATCTTGTTGATTTCTCTGCAAAATTAGTGCACTGAAATCCTAAATTTTCTCTCTGATCCTACTTTTAACCTTTCCTTATTGTTCATCCAAACTGGCAGCCAAAGCGTCGCACGGAAATGCCTGCTTAATGGTTGTTTAAACTGGGCTGAACTGAAGTGTCTACGCAGCATTGCACGAATCTGATGGGGCAGCCGAAAGAGCAGTGTTGAGGTTAGGCGTAGAGTTTTAGGTAGCTGCGGTCGCCCTCCAAAACCGACACTGGAAGGTGCATGGTTAATTGTTGTCCAAACTGGAACTGCGGTCCACATACAGGAAGCCGAACGGGGCCTATGTGACGCATCCTCCTGGTTGGGGTTTTCATACCCTCATGACAATTCTTAGTTTGACCTCCTTTCACTTTTTTTCCATTCACTGCCTCCCTCGGCAAAAATCGCTCGCCGTGGCAACCTATTTCTATCTAATCCACAAATCCTTTTCATTTTAGTTGCGTTCATTTTCGGATGGATGCAGTTCTCAGCAAGTTGAAGACAAAAGTGTCTACGGTATTGCCGGGTAACCCTCTGACTCGAGAATATGAGGTCGGGAAACTTCTTGGATGTTCCGGTCCTGGGATGTTGTGGAAGCTGTATGCTGCCAAAAAACGATCAACACAACAAGTAAGTTCTTCTGCTGATCATTTGCTGAATTTCTTATTTTGAAAGGAAGCTACGGTGTGGGCGTTAGAAAAGAAAACTCTTGAATCCTACCCCAAGTCGCAAAGGGAAACGGTGTTAGATGCTATGAAACACGGTGTGGCGACAATGACGCGTATCAAACATCCCAAAATCCTGTCCGTGGTTCAACCGTTGGAAGAGTCACGCGACAGTCTGGCTTTCGCTAGTGAACCGCTTTTTACGTCACTCAAAACTGCTCTGTCTCCCTCATGCTCATCGACTAATGGCAATTTTGAGGCACTCCGGGATTTCACTTTGACGGATATTGAAATCAAATATGGACTGATACAGGCGAGTAACTACCGTCTCTTGTCATATGCTGAAATATATGCTAATCAAGCAGATCGGCGGATTTTACCTCGACATTCTTAATACCGATTAACTACGATTTTTCGTTATTTTTTGAAAAAAACGAGATTCACGGAAGAAATGATCTCTTTCTAGGTGACGCTCATTCACTATTCCACTGATGTGAAAGCAAACTAGAGATTAATAAGTCCCAGTTACATGGATAGATTTCTTTTCCTGCCCCCACCAATTTATTGATAGTTGTCTTCGCACGCCGTACGCTGTCCGATCGAGGCTTTAAGATTTCGGTNCCCCCCCCCCCCAAGTTGCTTTAACCCGCTTTTCGGGCGATTTGCTGTCTCATGGTTGCTCATGTTCTCCTCATCTCCGATGCATGAGTGAGAGTAGTCTGAATAATTGAGAACAAAGAGGTGAAATATACCCCAGGGAGCATGACAGTTTTCCATTTCAAAGCTGCCACTTCTCTCAAATACCCCTTTTTACCATACGCCATTGTGGGATGGTCGGCGAAGTGGACCAATCCCTCAGGTCGTAAACACCTGCCATTTGAATTAGAGCGATGATTCTCACGGGGCCGCAATTAAGTCTGGTGTCAAGCCGCATGAAAATGAATCTGCATACTACCAAGGTTGGATGGCGATGTTGAAATTTGAATAGCACCTCAAAGGTTGGCGGGCGCCACTGACAATCACCTAAATCTGTTGGTCACAGTGACCCCTATTTAATGAATTCTTTTTTAAAATGGAGACGTCATAAGTGGTAAGGTGTTTATTGTACATTGTTTCAAGAATTTGTAATTGAGCTTTGGTTAAAGGTTGAACGGTATCTCAACTGCTAGTTAACTAAACGTCTTGTCGCTATCCCCGCATCACGAAGTATCCCCCTATTTTTAAACCATCTTTCGCATAAAAAATAAATTTATTTTCATTCCACCGGGATTAAAAGGCACAGGGAATGTTTATTGTCGTTCGTTTATGGCTCCTACTCCTTGATTAGTTTGTTTAATCCCTATGTTTATAATTAGTTTGTCGAACAGTGTTGTTTGAAAGCCAACACAGATTCATTTGGCAGTCGTTTCGTCCTTACGAGAACTCACCAGTGGCGCGTACTACCTTGGTGTTCCTACTGTTGTTTCTTGCTTCTGATTCATTCCCTACCGTTGCTGTATTTGGTACCAGAAGCAAGCCATTTAGGGGAATTGTCAACTTCATTTCGAGGCTAATTACCAATGCATGCTCGCCAAATCAACATGGAATCGAACACGTGAGTAATTACTCAACAGCAAACCAATTTGAGAATAGGTAATGTAGCGTACTGAGCTTTTGAACCACAAAAGCAAACTCTAAGCGGAATAAGTTTACTAATTGTTTGTTATACTAAGTAAACTAGTTGGGCTAAGGGGAGGTTCGGGCCTTGTGAGCAGGTGCGCTGAATGTGATTCATGTCATCGCTCCCTACTCTGTGCGCATAACGATCACTCCGTTTTTATTGCAGCTGACAGAAGCTTTGCATTTTTTGCACTCGGATTGTCATCGGTTGCATTTGAATCTCATTCCGGAATCTGTGGTGATTAACAAGTACGGACTATGGAAGTTGGCCGGGTTCGAATTCTCCAAAGTGCTCGACGAGTCCTGCAACGGTACTAACAATCCCTCCATGGATTCTGTGATTACTGTCCCAATATGGCAAGGTGCACTTATGCCCGCTTGTCAGCCAGCCCTGCACGGTTGCAGTCCGGAAGCGATATTGCAAGTGAGTTACTGACTTTCTCCCTTTTATTCCTTTTATGAGCTTGTACGAACTGAATCTTGTGCGGTACATGCTACAAGTATGATTTTTGTATTTTCTGAACTTGTTTCGTACCGTTGGATTATTACCTTTAGTCCTACAAGTTTAATCACTTAGGAACTTTCGGAAACTCCGTTTACTATACCTCGGCACATGAATATTCTTAGTAGAGGGACAGATCGTGATAGAAGTTAGACTATTTTCTGGTTTGAATTCGCCCACCTGGGAAATTCAGTTTTCGGTTTTTGCAACCACTAACCGTGCATTTTCGTGTGCCGGCTGAGAAGGAAGCTATTGCACTAAATAATATTGTTCAAATGATCCTTCTTTCATTTCCCTCAGTTATAATAATTTCCGCCTAACCCGTCTCCTCTTTCCTCCTCGTTTTTAATTCGTTTTATGCTGCCTCGTTCGTGGACGTGTTCACAGGGTCAAGTCAGCCGGGCCAGTGATATGTTTGCCTTTGGTTTGTTAATCTGTAGTCTTTACAATAAAGGTCAACCGTTGCTGGACACAGGCAATGACTATTCAGCTTATCGACGGGGTATCAAAGATGTGAGTCTCTATTTTATTTGATGAGTGGATTGTTCCTATGGGACTGGTTGATATTTTTAATCTGTTGATTATGTGCACGTAACGCGTGTACTGTAACTTGTAACCAAAAATTTTATTCTTCTAGTTCATGCCTTACTCCAGGACATCCTAGAAAAGCATANCATAAGCAATCACACTTGTGTTCATCCACGAGACTTGTTTCGAGTTTCTGACCTCTCTAGACAGAGTTTATTTCGGATGGTACTTTGAGTCAGATCATCTCAGAGTGTAACAGTCCAGTTCAAATGTTTGCTCAAAGACTCAAACATATCTGATTGCCCGCATGTATCTATCAGTATTTGACGGCTTAATGTTGGAGAACTTGCTTTTGCATTCTGTCTGGTGACTTGGTTTTGTTGCAACTGAAATTTACAGACGTAATTCCTCTGCACATGCATGGTAGTCCAACACTGACTATGCCCCTTTGAAACTGGTTGAATTAGGCGCGAGAGAGAAAACCTAGGTAGGATATTGCCTTATCTGTAAATCGGATTAGTGAAGTGTTGACAAAATAGACGGGATGCTATTAGGGGGTAGAGTTATAAGTTGCAAAGCTGTGAAGTAGATTGCAATCGATCCCTTCAGACTACTGTATACACCGTTGCTGTTTTATTTCCGATTTCTGTAATTTAGTGCATTAAAACAACAATTGCCGCTGCCTTGCGGGTCAGATTCTTGAATCAAAGGCTCCGGTTAGGGTTCCCAAAGAAAAACCCCTTCGTCGGTGTGGGCTACCGCGAAGTATGTCGCGCCCTAAAGTCTTAGGAACCCATTTGGAAAACCATCCTTCCCATCTGTCTAGTTCTTCCTCTCAACCCCGAACAATCTCAGATGCCTTCTGTTTACGCCACCCATCAAATATCAATCAGCGTTTTGCCATCAAGGCCAGAGATTCAAAAGCTATAGAATTTTTAAAGCCAAAATCCCCTTTCCACTTAGCCGCGTTCAGTGTCCGCACGCTCTATTAGATTGGTCAACAAGCCGCCCCGGCTAGAACCCTCGAAACTGTCAATGTAGATGTATGTTGTGTCTCCGAAACACGCATACAAGATCCTACTTCAGTCATCTCCCTCAGTTCTCCTGATCCAAACTCAACCTCACGTTTCACCGTTCGTGTATCAGGCGATTCGGCATCCGAAGCTCACGGTATTGCTGGCGTTGGGATTGTCCTGAGTGCCAAGGCTGAGCGCTCGCTTCTTGTCTGGATTCCAGTCAGTAGCCGACTATGCGCTGTACGTCTCAACGGATCAGCACGGGTCAATAGCTACAGAACGAACCGTCCATTCCTATTCGTCGTGTCGGTGTATGCACCGACCGATTGAAGTACATCTGAAATCAAGGATAAATTGTACAACGACCTTTCTCGATTACTCCAAATTGTTCGATCAACGGACATCGTTCTAGTGGATGGAGACTTTCATGCCCAAGTGGGATCCCCGTACGAATCAGAAAGGCTTCTTGGTAGACCACATGCAATCCCAGCCAACCGGATAGGCAACGGAGATCGTCTAATTACACTGTGCGCAGACCACGAATTGTTTTTGTCAAACACGAACTTCTCGCACGAGAAACGACACCGCCTTACGTGGAAA